GAAAAAAACGTAATTGTTATTAGCGTTATTAATATTTTTAAAAGAATTAATTATTATTTTGAAACGTTGATACCTGTGATAAATATAATACAAACAATAATATAATAATAATATCTTACATTCTGTAATTTAGGTAAAAAGTTGAGTAGCTTTAGTTATCTACTCATGGAAAATGACACTCTTATATAGTAAATTTCATAATCATCACATCTTAATAATGTGTGATGTACCATAGAAAATGAAACTTTAAACTTTACCTACTTCAAAGCCGTGAGTCCACACCCATCTCAGCCCCACAATGGATGGGGCTGAGGCGTGAAAATGTGGGTAATAGTACCTCTAAAGAAATGACACTCTTATATAGTATAATTCATCATCATCACAACCTGGGTCATTTATGCAGTTCTTTTCAACAATTTTCTGGAATCTTCTTGACTTATGAAATCCCGCCGAAAAGTGAGGGGGACCAACCCTCTTAAAATATGTGGGGGACGTGTCCCCCTGTCCCCATGATCTGCGCCCATGTCCTCCTCGCATTTGGTGCTGATTGGAATCAAGATGCAGATTTAGAACGTTATTTATATTTTTATACGTTATTTATTTTTCAGTCGCGACTGACAGAGCGAACTGGAGGATCGTTCGACCGAGTCGTTTGGCCAGGCCAGACCGAGTCGAGCAAATCGACCATGTGTCAAATTTTGGCCGCCGGACTGGAAATCGTCCGGACGGCGTGCAAGCCTGATTGATGGACTTATGATGCTTTGGCGGATGGAGTGGAGAAGCAAGATGTGGATTTTAGAATGTTTCAAGTGTTTCAAGAATAGGGCGCAACAGGGCAAAGGTTTGTAATCTCAGATTATCTGGTTATGTATAAGATGAGTATATTAAATGAACATCTCTATTAATTTTAATACTAATCCACCCGTTGCGTCTGATCAGTCATCGGATTTGTATGCGGTACTCGCTTTGTTAATGTTTTTTTTTTTTTTTTAACGCTCCAGTAAATACACTGTAACAAAGATGACAGATCGGCGACTGTTTTTGCGGAGTGTGTCTGTTGTAAACACCAACATTTGCTGAGTACCTGTTCTGAGTACCAGTTCTTTTTCTTGTTACGATGTTTTGACTTTTTTTCGCATTTATATTACTATTTATATTTTATTTATATCATTTAAAACATTGAAATTATGGTTTTGCTACGAATTTAATTGTAGGTTAGTTTAAGTGTGTGTTATTTTTCATTGTTTATACAGTAGTATACTTCTGTGCATTCTTTCTATTTATTTTAAATTAATCTTAAATTTTGGATATTTTGTGTACGTTTAAATTCGCTTATGCAACTCCATTTTTTAACAAGCACTCTTGAGGGTTCCTTTTTGTCTTGCTTCAGTTGTTTTTGTTTGTTCATGTATATTATGGATATTGACAAATAAAGAATTTTTGTATGTTGTATTTTGTATTGAATCAACATGATACCGGTACACTGTTGACTGCGAGATAAAAAAAAAGTGTCAAGTAAAATTCAACCAGGGTATTTTGATGTCAATCCCTACCGTACTATATGAACTACGGTACATAGCTTACAGCCTACAACCTACGAAATTAGCTACATACCTGTAAATATGAGTAGAAATAATTATATGCCTATAACACAGACAACGATCGGTAGACCATGGAAAACTGTATTAGAGGACATTTCGACTGTCCTAATTCGGATTTATCAGCAGAACTGTCTACAGTTGATAGGGATAAAGAACAACCACTCTCTATGTTGTATACACCTTATTCCGAGTAGGGAGAAATCAGCTAGTTAAAAATAACAATAAAACAAACTCGCAACATCAATATTTACAATGCTTTTCATTAACAATCCTATCTGGTACTTAAAACATAACCTTTGTCAAGCTGGGATTTGTTTTACCTCAAAGCTGAACTTACAACAAATTTAGAAAATTACGTAATACTACTAGACCTACTAGAAATTCTCACAGATTTCAAAACTACAAAGAAAAAAATTATGGCAACATGGTCATGTCATTGTTTAATATAAAATAAGTATATTAAATAGGCATCTCTATTATTTTTGACTTGTGACTTTGAAAATGGTGGTCACGGTCTCGAATTAGAGAGGTCTCAGAATTGGAGGGTACAGTTAGTGTTAAAAGATAGGTGATCAGTTTGTACTTAAACTGCTCTCGAATTAATTTCATTTATTTATTTGACCAACGTTAAAACAAAAACAGAACAATACAAAAAAAATCAAGCAATAGTACAATGGTCTGAGGTAGTAAAAATTGACATAACTTCCAAGAGTCAGCTGCCCAAAGGGGTCTCGAACTGGATGCTGAACTATTAAGACTCATTTGAGTTCTTGTCGGTCTAGATCTACCTTTACCGAATTTTGCTTTTAATCAATCGAGCATTGCCTTTAGTCATCCAGTGACACTAGGTAATATATTAGACACGATTTTATTGCATTAGGAAACATTTTACCTAAAATATTTATGAAATATCCGGTATGCATAATTCGGTATCTATTACGTCAGTCCATTGGAATTCAGTGTAGCTACTTCACAAAAGCTCCATTTGTTAGTGAGCATTCGTTTATTTACTTTACAGTATCACTTGTATGTACGCAAAAAAATACTGAGTTGCATTTATTCAAAAGTTTCACCAAAAAATATTGTTAACATAGGCATCTAAAGAAGCGGTGGCTTGTCAGTTTGAATACCAAATATACAAACACAGAATACAAGGAAACACAGCAGAATTTTGATTTAATTTAGGGTCGCCCAGAAACCCCGGCACCTCCCGGAAGGGGAAATGCCCAAATGATCATCACGCAACAGTAATAATACCGTGCGTCATCAGACATCCACGACAGTGTACTACCCAAAAGGTGCCAGCGATCATGGGCGACTCTCAAGATATAACGTTAATAAAAATAGATAAATTTGATAAATAAGTTAAAGCAATGTAAGAAAAGTTTTCCTTATTAAGTATCTACTTATATCATCTCTCTTAATTCATTTTTTGATTGAATTTAGTAAATTTACTTTAAAAAGACTATCATATAGCTTAATAACATGAAAGTGGTTGAGATATCAATAAATATGACTTACAATCCGTTTAAAATGGGCGTTAGTGCATTGTCTATTAAGAAAATACTACGTTCAGAGTGATTCCGGTAGGCCTCTTGCAGATTGAAAAAATGTACTTGAATAATTTTTCATATTTCATTCAATTTACCTTGTCGCTATCCGTGGTATGCTTGCTTTTTTAAGCACTAATATTTTCTAGACGTTTATAAATTGATCGTTAAAAGCTCTGTGACTGTATTTCCAATAAACGTCAAAATTGACAAGTGACCTGTCGGATCAAGGGTAAAGGATAGCAACTCTGCTAACGTTTGTAACTTTTTTTATTACATTTGAAACATCTTAAAAACATTATTAATCATTCGTTGAAAATGTTGCATCAAAAATTCACATCTGATAGTGTTTCTATGTTGTATACGGTCTTTAATTGTTTGTCTTTCAGAAATGTATAATTATACAGTGAATTTATTGGAAAAGCGTTTTAAATATAATATAATAGTGTAACGGTATAGTTAGTCTGATTTGACAAGATCCTTGAAATTCTACCGTAATTTTCTTTAAATTTTTGAAGCATTTTTGCCAGATTGTCTCCTCATCAATCAATTGTCAAATGAAGTTTAAAAACATGCGTAATTAGGCCTTCTAAATACTGTTTCTGTTTGTAAATCATGGAATATGTGTTCAAATTCTCTCACACTTTTTATCAATGTTTTATGAGGTGATTTTAAACAAAAGTTCTTATTGGTTTCCTTTGTTCGTATGACCTTTATCACTCCCATTACCATTACGGTCTATTACAGTAATTCTGGAAATTGTAATTAGACCTTAAGTATTGTATTTATCGTTGCGTCTGCCAAGCAACTGCTTTAGGCACTGGAGCCAAGGATTGGCCAAACAGTGAACTCACTCTTTCAAAGTGCAATCTCATTACAAATATGAGTTCTTTTAGGTTGTGAGAAAGTATCCTGTAACCGTGACAGGAATTGAACCCATGACTCTGGGATTGGAAAGCAATCATCTTTACCACCAAAACTATTCAGCTCCACTCCACAACTTTAGCATGTACGATCTTAAATCTGTACGTAAATTTAATATACGTATCAACATGAAACACTGTTTACTGCGAGATAAAATAAGTGTCAAGTAAAATCCAACCAGGGTATTTTTATGTCAATGCCTACCGTACTATATGAACTACGGTATATAGCTTACAACATATGTAATTAGCTAAATACCTGTTGAAATTATGAGTAGAAATATGCATATAACACAGACAGCGATCGGTAGACCATGGAAAACTATGTTAGATTACATGTCGACTATTCTAACTGGGATTAATCAGCGGAACTGCCTACAGTTTACAGGGTAAAGTACAACATACGGTACTCACTATGTTGTGTAGTTACACCTTATCCTGATTATGGAGAAATCAGCTAGTTGAAAATAACAATAAAACAAACACGAACAATTTACAATGCTTTTGATTGATATTGATAATTCTATCTGGTAATTAAAACTTTTATCAAGCTGGGTATTTGATTTCACATGATTCATGAGTCTACTAAGGAATAATTAGGCATTGCCTAAAATAGACATCTTTTTAGGTATAATATTCAGTAACTAATCTTCTTCCCCCTCACTTTTAGTTGGAGCTGGAGGCCTAAGTAACTCATTCGATAGAACAACACGTCGTGTTTAAGACAATATTCTATAAAAATCTTCTTTTTTTTTGCAGTAGGCCTGCTTAATTTTTTTTAATAGAATAACTATACCTGTATTAATTTACCTATAACATTACTGCAGTATGATCATTACTTCTTTATCTTAGAAACAATAGCAGTTTTGTTATCTATATCTATAAGTTATCATATAATGAACAACAAAATTGACGCAACCTACAAATTGATTAGCTATCAATAATACAATTTATTCATGTAATGTTTTATTTATATCAAGTATCCTGCATTATGGCGTCTGTTCTGCAATTTTGCTTAAGGCGTTATAAACCACATTGTCACTGCAGTGGTGGATTCAAGGGGGAGGGGCAGCCGGCCCAGCCCTCCCCCCTAAATTGTTCGCTTTTTTTAATGGAGGTTTAAAGAAAATTATATTCAAATTTTAAGTCTGAGACTAATTTTGCAATATCCGGCCATTTTGAAGTGCCATTTAGAAGTGCCATAATCACAAATGTTCTTACCAGGTAGGCCTATACATCATCCATCTGTGAAAGTACCTCCCCGGGCCCCCACTATTTTGAAATCCTGGATCCGCCACTGCACTGGCTATTAAATGTTACATTTTGTAAAGTAAACCTAATAGCTTGTTAACGGACGATTATATTCGTCCTTAGGATTTGTTAACTCGACGCTTATGTTTTTGATAAGCACGCTCTTACGGATCGACTCTGGTGCAGTCTTTACAAACATTTCAAATGTTCACTGTTCTAGAGGGCTACAGACGATTATTTGTATATCCTGTAAGCACTGTAAGCATAGAAAAAAGGAAGTTTAATACAGTTTCACTCTTGGGTTCAGCATTTATCTTGAATTTCCTTATTTTCGTTTGCTGATTGTGAGTCTACCATTTCCGAGCGATTGTGCCTCTTTAATGGATCTGTTTCAAGTGCATATTCATTATCTTCGTAGCTATCTGAGTTGTCTTCATCTTTGCCGTCATCATCAACAAATGATTTAATTGAGTTATGCGCAGAATCGTCCCAATCAAGACCACCAGCCTCCAAATTATTATCCTCCGAGTCTGAAAGTAAAGGAAAGTTTAACACTAAAAGTATTACTTATTATTACAATTATTATTATTATTATTATTATTATTATTATTATTATTATTATTATTATTATTATTATCAATATTATTATTATCACTATTATTATTATTATTATTATTATTATTGCAATAATCAATAGCTTTTCCGCTGTCTCAAGAATATCCAATAAAAGCTTTATTGATGATGATGAAACTAATAATAATAATCACAATAATATAGGCATAATAATGATGATAATAATAATAATTTATAATTACCATAATGATGATGATGACAATAAAAATAATATTCATTAAAATAGTAATAATTTACATTTATAAAGCGCTTTTTTTGTCTTGTTTTTTATATGTAATTGTGACCTGTTGACCCAATCCTAGCTGATCGAGTAGAGTTTGTCTCTTCTATAATTATGCCAGTTCATTATATAGGCCTAGTAAAGCACTTCATGCTTATTCTATGATTATATTTACAATTGAACACTCAAACCAGAGCAAACATGTTAATTTGTAATTAAAGCAACATCATTAAATATGATGAAACGTGTAAAAAATTCTTATCATGATCAACTTTAGAAAAAAATGGCATCACTTGCATTCGACCATTTTAGAATAATTATGCTTCCCCTGTATGGGATATGACCTGTAGCTTAGCTTCAGATCTGGAAAATCTTCAAATGAGTTGTGCAAGAATCTGCTGTACACGTGCATGGAAGCATACTAGCCATACAGCGCTACGTTTTTAACTTGGTTGGCCAACCCTCCAGAGTGGGCAAATTTATGTTAAGCAATGTTTATTCTACAAAATAAGAAATACTCAAACGCCGCAGTATTTATTATCTATGTTCAATTTTCTTGAAAATCTTGAAGTATATGTTTTACGTGGCATAAAAAACTTCTAATTTGCACAACTGAATTAAATAATTCATCATTTGTATACTCTTTACATCTGATTGGAACATCTTCAGCAATGAAATAGAAAATTCCGCATCAATTTATATTTTTTTTTAAATTATTTAAAAGATGGTTTTCTATCAAAAATAAGATATTATGATACTTGGTCCAAAAAATTAATGAAATACATACGAGGATAAGACTTGGTTTTAGTAGTTAATTTTCATTTATATTCTTATGGGTTGAAGACTGATTCAACTTGTACTTGTGGAAATAGTATAGAAATCCCATTTCATTATTTTATCTTGTGTCACTGTTTTGTTACTCAAAGAAAAAAGTTTGCAGATTTTTCTCAGCAAGAATTATTGATCAGAATTTATTTAATTTATTAATTTTTGGTTACCAGAATCTTACAAATGATGAAAATTGTGTTTTGTTTAACAAGGTTCAGATGTATTTTAGATACTGGAAGTTCTTGAATCTTAGTTTTCAATTAAATATGTACTATCTGTCATGATCTAAAATGCAATTCCATATCTGAGTAAACTGTTGTTTACTCAAATATGGAATTTGAGTAAACTGTTGTTTTACATAATGACCACTAAACTAAATGATAATTAACTTTAAAATTTTTGCTGTAAAATTTCTGTTGATCAGATTCTTTCATTTTAATGAGCTCTACAGGTTCAGATTGAATTAATTTTCTTTGACAGACAGTGTATCTTTAACCTTTTAACTTATCCTTTTATGCCAAGTGCCACCGTATTTTTCATTTGTGCTATGATGTTTTTCAGAGGTACCTCGTTAAAAAAGGCTTGAGATCGCCTTGTGAGGCACCTCTGTGAAATATTGAATCAAAAAAATATTTTTAAAAAAGCAACACTAAACAACATTCAATATAGTGACTATAAATATGTCTACTGGTGTGTATATATAGGTTCATTCACATTTTATTAAAACACGTGACAAATTGAAATTAACCAATGTATATGTACCTTTGTGGAAAATGTCCAGAAACGTTTAAAAAATGTGTTAAATTAAAGTCAAATGTCAATGTACGTTAGATTTGTAATTATTGAGCTAGCATAGAGACAATGAAGACGATAATTGCGACGACACATTGGCGCCTACATAACGAAATTTTACCTTTTCTTGTGATAGTAAAGTACGTGATTAGAGTACGACTGTTTCACATAGTCTAATCGCTATAGCAGAGGCGCGTCCACAAAACGACGCTTTTTAACATCCAATCACATCAGAATTCCTGGATGAAGCATTCATTGGATACGGTCATTTGTCAGAAATTAATGATGACGTCAGTGTCATAGATTTACTCGTACTTTAATGCCATTGCATTGCCTAATCTTTTAAGCAATTGCGTTGACGTATAGTTCACTTCTCACTTGTTCACTTCAGGTAAATCATCGAGTCAACAACTATCGGGATCATTCTTGTTGGTACTCGTTTGACACTGAGTGAATACTCAGTATTCGTACTCGGTACTCGTTTATATTGTAAAATAAAGTTAGTTACAATGAAAAGGTCAACGATTGTTTTAACACTCTAATTTAAGAACAAATAATGTAATGTGTTAACTGTTGTCAATTAGGACTACATTTTTGCTGTAATAAAACGTACACATTAACCTACAAGCACTTTCTTAATTGCCCGTAATACCAATAAGTATCAGGCCATAAATTTAATTTCTGCACCCAGTTAAAGGTTCTTCTACGCGAATTGCTATTTATAATTCTCATTAATCTTAAAAGTGACGTTTGAAATGATGAAATACATTGAATGGTTATATATTGCGCCCTAGGGTATTCAAAAATATCCGGTGATGACGTCATTAAAACTATTGAACCAATCACATGCCCGCATTTTGTTTATATATTCTTTCATTCGACTAGTTCACATAATAACCAGGAATGATCCATTTCAAAGAATCGTAAAAGATAAAGGATTCGATTCAGTTACACTTTACACAACTAAAACTTATTATTACAGCATCATCTTTGTTAAAGTTAAAAATACATCAATTTTCATCCTTCTTCCTTCGAAATTTCAGTATAATTAATTTCCATTCAACAACAACCTGAGAAACATAGGATGGAATAAACAAAATCCTGGCATCTGTATGAACTGAAGACATTAAAATTTGGCAACAATTTGAATAATTGTGTGCTGGCGAGTATTTCAAGCTTACAGTGTTATTCTTATTAAAATTAATGATTTATTGTCGGTTAATATCTGCACTGTACTTAGGCTAATTGATTTGCCATGTTAACCTGTCAATAACAAGATAGCATGTTATCACACAGGATCAGAACACAAAAAATAAATTTCTATGTTGTCAATCAGATTATTGTCGTGAATTTATAATTTTAAGTACATAATCGGATGATTCTGCTTAAGATCTTAAAACGCAGCACTATACCAGACTATGCCGTGTTCGACAACAATGATTGATATTCGGTATAAATATATGTGATGAAGTCAGTAGATGTCCGAACATTAACGTATTGGCAGAGAAAGTTAATTATAGGATTATCTATAATTCTTGTGTCACGCCTTCCACAATACAGTGAGAACTTGCAGGTTCTATTCCCACAAGAGACCTTTTTTTCATACAACTTTAATAAGAAACTTTCGTTGATGAACTATATTTGATTCCTATATATTTGAGCACTTTGATTTATACCTTATTTGTGTTCCTAGTGCTAAGCAGCAACTTATATTATATTATATCTGTCTCTTATACACATCTAGATGTGTATAAGAGACAGCCGCTACACAGTACATCAGCAGCCCCTCCCCACACAGTGCAGACGTTTGCTAGGTAACAACGTGATTGCACCTTCCTTCCCAGGTGTTCATGTAACATTGACATAATTGTTAGCTAACCAGTTGTGTGTATTTCTTTGTGAAAATGAGTACCGCGGCGTACTCTGTGTATAAGAGACAGGGCCTAGTATTATTATTATCATATATTGAATATATTATATTCAATCCTACCTGCGTCTACTTCATCAGCTTGTATGCTATATCGAGGCAGGTCGTCTTGACAACAGTAGAAACAACAACACGTAATAGACATGGTGAATACCATAACAAGGCCGATGAATGTTAGGAAGAACACGAATGTCGCACTGAAAAATACCACACAGAATATTATGAATAAGAGAATCATTACCTTAACTAATAAATAAGATATATACATATACATATACATATACATATATATATACATTAATTAGGCAGCACTAGTCTTTAGTACATGGCGAAAAACCGAGATCAATATGATACGCCCAGCTCTTCTTATAAACATTTGACAAGACGAGATCTCCTGTCGGCCCTCCAACCGAAGCTCTCGATCTCAGAAATGAGCGGTGAATATTGTTAGTTTTTCTATCGTGATTCGAATCATTTAAAAATTCAAAAGGGATAATGAGCTCAATGATTGTAATTTTCTTTTACCTTTTCCCAAAAGAAGCAATATTGTGAATGAGATTAGTGTATTTTATTATGCAATTAATAATTAATTACATTATAAAATACATACCTGGTCCTGGTAACAACTGAACATACGCTACCAGTTACCCGAGGCAGCATCTTGCCTCAGATACGTTTTCTTTTAAATCCATTTAAGGGATTCTATACTGCAATAGCAACATTTTTTAAATCCGGGTCACATTTTTAAAATGTTTTTAAATTTCCATCGAAAGCAATTAGCAATAAACATAAAACCAACATGAACATTTACTACACAGCACCTTCATCTATTATGAAATTTGCTTGTGGTTATCGCATTGGTGAAATTAATCACGATGACTAACAGAATTATTATCATAATTCAACAAGAATTCAAGAAGAAAACAAGAAGAAAACAAGAATTATTATTATATAAGACTATAAAACTAATAAACTATCGTATTTTGCTGTTGACGGCCGTCATCAGAAGATGGTTTATCATAATAAACTTACAGTACTGAAATTGGAGGCTTTACAAATAGTTAAAAGCATGGAAACCATTTTCAATTTCCGCACAGTTTCAGCTTATAGTTAGTTCTGTTACAATCATCAGGAAACCGGACTCATGTTATATAATTTCATAAAGCAAAACAGGCTGTAGGCCTATATCGTTTGATCATCGATATTGCACACAGAGATAACATTGAATTATTTCACACAAGTAATAAGAAATATGTTCATGATTTTGTAGGGTCCGGCGACCCTACAAAACATCGGTCCTTGACTAGAGTGGTGACTCATGGTTTCATTGAAACTCTTGCAGTGCGCTTTGGAGCAATAGGTCCTACAATGTTTTTAAGTATAAGACCTTTCTAACCACCGTCAGGATGAAATGTCATGATTAAAAGCTATACTATTGCCAGAATGTAGAAATCTTTTTCCGAACCTACATGATACTTATTGTACATGGCAATAAAGTATTTTAAGGCAAAGCTTAAATGCGTTCTTAGTAGAGCTGACGTAGCACATAATACAGTTGATGTTATGGGTATTATTTTCTATAATAATAACTGTGAAACGTTTTGGTCCAAGGTCAAAACAATAAATGCCAAGTCTTTACGACTTACTAAAGTTGTTGAAAATGTAATGCAATGGTGAGGAGGATATTTACTAGTATATATAGTTTACGGCATGATAAATTCTGGAGGTAACACGAGTTACGATGCTCGCTTTCCAATCCAAAAATCCAAGACTTAGATAGTTGTATAATGTATGTCGATCTTATAAACGTTATTATCACTTAGCAAGACATTAAATTTACCATTTGCAATAATTGGCTAATGTACCTAAATAAATAATAAACAATTTTATATTTTCCTTCCATATTGCTTAAAAAGCGAACTTATCACTATCTTTAAAATGGACTCTTAACATAATGAAACATATTAATTTTTCATTGAAAAAAATTAAATCGAATTGGATTATAAATAACTACCTGATATTATTTTTATAATTAACTCTGTGTCATAGGCTACATGGGCCCGAACGCCGCGTGCGTCTGGTTACCTAGCAACCGAAGGGCGCCCATACGTAAAAGGAGAAGGGCGCCGCGTACGTCTGGACTAATTTCCACCCATAGAGATATAATAAGAATGTTTAATAGCTCTATGTTTCCGCCTCATTTTTGCTATGCGGGTACTCTATCTTGTATCTTTGACCTGAGGCAGTACATCATTTGTAAAAATCCACCATTAGACCACGGTTTACGGTACCCATGTTTGGTCTGAAGACTCCTCCTGACATCTTTCTCTTCTCGATAAAATCCAAGTGACATTATTCATCTGCTCCGACCATAGCTTGGTTCTGTTAGAACTTTTAGCTCGTCGGCGCAACGTTACTTGTCTTAATTTTCTTTATCTTTATTTTAATCAGCATTAGCTCTGATGAGGTTTCTAACATGTATCCTGTTAGTAAGTTTGCCAGAAACACCCATTTCTCGATTTCTCATTAGTTCACTCATCCACATTTTCCATTCCCTGTGTTTTTAGTCAGGTACCGGTACCTCTCTCGCAGCTGATTGTTTTCGAATTTAACCTTTCATCTTACTAAATTCTAATCTTGTTAATAACTATTAGAATATAATTTCATTGTCATTCAGTGTATTGCTTTCATTTACTTAGCATTTTGGACACATACAAAAAATTATGGTAAAAGGATATTTTTTTAACTTTCCATATTTTCTATTCGTAAAGGTTATTCTCCATTTATGAAGCATTTATGAACATGTTGATGATTGTTATAAAAAGAGAAAGGAAATTTAAAACGGTTGATAGTAGCCTATATGTTACATACAGAATTATTTTAATGATATGCACTCGTTAGCATTGCGTTCAATCATTAATTAAAGAGTTTGGGGTATTTATATTTTTCATCATTCTGAACTTAAGTTTAATCTATGCGGTTACTCGGCTAAAACCTGTTCAATATTTAATTATATGGACGTCAGATTGAGTCATTTTACATAATAGTTTGACATCTTATGCTAATTTAAAACATAATATCGTTAGTTACTTGGTTTAACAGAGTGTCGAAGCGAATAGCAGAAGATTATTTGTTGTAAAATTGCACAGCAGAACTTCGATTAATTTAATTTAATTGGCAAACAAAGAAACGTCACCACTTTGCTCTAAATCTTGAATGCAATTAAAGAAGCGTCAGAATACTATTAAATCCATTAAATCAACATTGGCCAAGCATCATATATCCAAGAATTATTTTAACATTTTTCTGGAAAATATTTGGTGCATACGTTTTTGGTAACTACAAAAAATACTGTAAAAAGTTGTTGTATAATCATTATAAGCATCAACTTTATCCATCATCATTATTATCATCATCATCATCAACGTCAATGTCAATGACAACATTACCATCATTATCAAACCTGCAATTTTAAAGTAACTGCATGCTTTGTGCTTATCAGTAGGTCTACTTAGCACTTGGCAGCATAGATTCTCATCTCATCTCATTTACTCTTATGCCATCTTTATTGCTTAGAATTACCTGACATTAGATGACTGTTCAATACTCTGTAGTATATTGCGAGGCCAGTATATGGACTGCTTCTGATTGGAGCAGCAAGTTCGGTTATATTGCTCTCCACAACAATATGGACCTGTAATATGGTCGGAGCAATTTAGAGTTGGTCTGTAATTGCCATCGAGGTCATAATATTCTCCACAAAGTTCACTTGATACTAAAAGTTTTTTTAAAAATGTGAAAAAGACGTATTTATAACATTATTAATATTGTGAAATCAATTATCATATTTAAACTTTTGGTAACTGATGATGAATAATAGTATTATTTAATAATACAAAGAACGGTTACAATGTCTTACATTCTGTAATATTAGGTAAAACGTTGAGTATCTAAAAGTGTTGTTATCTACACTTATTTTTTGAGAAGATCAATTACCTCCGCCAAAGGAGGTATCTATTCACCACTGTCTGTCTGTCTATTCGTCTGTTGGGCTGTTTGTTCGTGTGTTGTCACAGCCCTGCATATTGTTTGGTATTCAATCAGAGGGTGGAGGTATGGAGTCACTGCTCTAGTTTAATTAGCACTCTTTATTTTTTATTATACCCATTGTCTTTCAATACCAAAAATAACGATTGTATTCGTCACTCTAGGTACATTTTCTAATAGTAATTAGAACATGGGAAGCAAAAATGAACTTTTTTGAATCATAGGGGCCTAACGTTTTATATTACAATATTGAAAACAGAATTTTACAATAACATTACAAGTAATCAAGGTTGTCTCATGTGCATTAAACCTCCATGATTAGAGTTGCATGAATGTAAGATAAGTGGTAATGAAAATAAAAACAACTAACTAGCCGATTTGGACACACTGTTTAAGAAGTATAATGGACTAAATCGTTAAAAGCAGTAAGATGTGTAAAATAACCTAGTCTGTTTTGTTAACCTTAATTTTTAACAGCGTCAATGATGCTGATTATCGTCCATTAGCAAACCGCTGCTACGTTCCCGGATTCAATTAGAGAATGATGGATCCACATACATATTTTTCAAAGACATAACGTAAATTTACTGACGTATGATAATGTATAATTACAATTATTAACATTTTATCCATGTTTGTATTACGTAGTAAAATAGGGTGGTTTCCTGCTTCAACATTCATAGTTTATGAATCCTGAGGGTCACAGTTACACGTGGATTTTTTTGGTTAAGCAATTTCCCACATCAAAAGAGCGAGATGTGATTTTCCGTCAGTGAATATTTAGTGGGGTCCTTCTGTTGGTGATTGGACAGTACACCGGGAGACAACCCCTACTCTTTTCCGAAAAAACGTGCACATGGACCATAAATTCACACGGGGCCAACGGCTTAAACGTCTCATCCGAAAGACGGTGCGCTATTGTAACTTGTATTTCAGCCCTCTAACTGAAACGCAAGGAAAGCAGCGATGGGAATTGAACTGGGACCTAGAGATCTCCACGGTTCAGCGCACACACAGTGACTACCACCAGATTAGCCAACTGAGCTAAGCTGCTCTCTCTAATTTATAGCAACATGGTTATACCACTGTAAACTGTGAGATAAGTATATTAAATGAACATCTCTATTAATGTTTAAATACTCATTAACGTCAATTAACGGTGCATTTGTTGTTTAAACCTTGTCTGGTTATTTCTTTCTTTAAATTTTAATTATACCTATAATTATTGTAGTTACCCCCCCCCCCCTAAATCCGCCCCTGAGTTATCGTCGCGTTTGCCAATCCGATTGAGTTTATTTCTAGGCACTGGGCCCAGTAGTGGCGGCAGCGAGAGTGAGGGCAGGGGCACCCCCTCGCGTCGGACAGCCTTGGGCCCCTGCTGTCGTCCGACGCACAACTAGGTCTAAAAAATAATAATTTGCCTATCAAATAACTTTATTTTGGCTGCCAGTCTAAAAGCACATGAATGTTTGTAAATTCTAAGCCATAAAAACTCTCCCCGTGAACTCTACATGAGAGTTTTTTTCCGTCGACAAAGGCTTCATCGGCCCCTTGCCCCGACTCCCTGTATGACATGTCGGACCCCTTCGGAAAGTTTCTGGCGCCACTGCTGCTAGTGCCAAGGATTGGCGAAACATTGGACTTAATCGCTCTTCAAAGTGGCAATCTCGTCAGAAGACAAACATACACATAAAATGCTCTACATAGACTATGCCTCATTATGAGGCTTTGGAGTGGAGAAATTACAATGTCGTGAGACAAAAATCCTGTAACCGTAACATGAATTGAACCCAGCACCTAATATCGGTAAGCAACCATCTTATCCACTAAGCTATTCAACTCATAATCATGCCTTCAACTCCTCTCCACAACTTTATTAGCATAAATAAGATCTTAAATATCTACGTAAATTTCTGTAAATACAAATTAAATAATATGTATCAACAAGAATTAAGTTTACACACGTTGACTGTGAGATAAAAGGAAAGTGTAAAGCAAAATCCAACTATAGGGTATTCATGTCAATATTTATTATACTCCATGTACAGTATATTAGTAGGTCTTCTATAATATACAGCCTACAACATACGTAAATTGCCACATACCTGTTGAAACTATGAGTAGAAATATGCCTATAACACAGACAACGATAGGTAGACCATGTAAAACTGCATTAGAGGGCATGTCGACTATTTTAACCCTGGTTTATCTGCCGCATTGTATACAGTTGATAGGGTAAAGTACAGCCACTCACCTTGTTGTACAGTTACACCTCTTCGAATAGAATGAGAAATCAGCTAGTTGGACGATAACAATAAAACAAACACGAACATCAATATTTACAATGCTATTGATCGATAATCCTATCTGGTATATTTTAAAACATAACTTTTGTGAAGCTGGGTTTTTGTTGTTATTTCACATGATTCATGAGTATATACCTTCCTAAGGAATAATTAGACACCATTTTAGTATTAGGCCTAATATTAGTCTAAAAAACATTGGTATCATTTGGAAATTTTAAAAAATCGGATATTTTTATCTGATACTAGGCACAACCATTCGCTATCATCGGATCAGTCGATCTATCGTACCGTCGGACGTGATACAGAGTACTGCTTTTGTTTCTGCCTACCGCCCTCTTTATGGTCACCAAATCGATTTTGCCATTTTGTAATAACGTAGGCCAATGTTTCATTATAACAGGGAGTTGATTATAATAATAATGGAACATAGGTTAGAAATTTGGTAAACATAAAGAGGGCGGTAGGTAGAAACATGAACAACCTATTTGCAATAACAATTCTCTCTCGGGCATTTTTAATTTGGGGGGGGGGAGTGAATGGGGTATAATTAGTTTTTTTAAATAAATAAAAATAGATACGCCACTGTCTACAGATTGGCCACAACTTGAGCTGGTGAAGCTAAATCATTGGCTCTCTCTCAAACCATTACACTATTTTAATCTTAGCAAACGTCTACGTACTGATACTTATATTAAAATTCAGAAGTGAGTGGTCTTTAACACAAAATTATATAAATTATGTTAGACAATGTGTCTTATAAACCCAACGATTAATATTAATAATATTCTTAGATCGGTGGAGGTTTGGGCTTCCATCAGCACACCTAAGATCACGCTAATAAGGATGCAATAGTACACATAAAGGATGAAGGTGTAACCATCAGTACGATGCACGGAAATAAATTAGATTGCTGAACATAGTAACACAATACCAGTTTACATGCGTTTCTTTTTGTATTTATTTCAACCATTCTATATTAATTATGAGGCATTGTTGTTATTATTGTTTCAACTATAATAATGTATTGTGTATTTATTTATGAATAAATATGGCACTTGTATTTTGTTTATTTCAAGACAACCATTTTGCTTTGCAATAAAATTTACCCTGTATTTTTAATGCAGACTTGTCAGTCACTATTAAACAATGAGCGACTAATACTGGCATACAAAGACCCAACACTTTCTCGCTAATGTCTCATCGTTACACCCCTGCTGCCTGTCTGTCCGCTGAATTGTCTTTTAAAAGAAGCTACAATGCTCGTAAGCTGTTTAAAACCATAAAATTTGTAAAACAGCACTCAATTAAAAAACATTTCCAAGAAGAAATTACAAAAATACAACTTATACTGATCAAACAGACAACTGTTCTCGGGGAGTTATCATCAAAATTCACAAAAAAGAAAACCAACATTATTTTGTAATTGGGCTTACAATTTAAAAAAGTAACAACATTCGGTTCGAATGCAGTAATAGACCTAGAAGGAACCATTATTTAAAGTTAAAATATACGGTAAATAACAAAATGTAAGTAACACTAAATGAACAACAGGAAGTCAATGGCAATTAACTTTTTCAGTGGATTTAGAAGGCTTTATGTAATGATGTGATGGTTTAAGTTGCTCTTGTATTTATAACATTTCACATATCAACAGTAAAAATTTGTTTATGCTTTTAGGCAGAATAAAACGGTAAAGTACATTAAGAATCTGGACATGCACTTAAAGAATTTCCTCACAACAAAACATCGTGAGATACAAAACAAACTACATAGGCCTACCAGTCTGGAAAAAAAAACAAAAAAACTAACAAACTCTGAAATGTAAACATTCATTAAACAGTTTATAATTTCCTTATTTCAATACAACCAACAGCAAAAGATTTGACACCGATACAATTAGGACCTACAAGAAAATATGTTTATATTTTCATTTCAATTTGGTTAAGACTGGTGTGTTATATTTAATGCCAGAAAAACGAGGAAAACAAAACCCATTCCCACTCTATGCACAAAGGACTTGGGCCAGTTTAAATAGACTATCCCCCCCCCCCCCCCACTTGAAGTGGGATACGTCAAAAACCAGCCTCCATCATCTCACCACTATTTCATTTAAATAAAGAAATAATATATCTATTCTTATACAGTACTTGTATTTTTTTGTATATGAATATTTAATACTGGTCGATTGATTAATATATTAATTTAACAAATTGTAAACATAGGCCTAATATTTGGCAATCATTCACATAAATTTAAATTTCCCCTAACAGAGGTAGGGTGAAACTCCGAACAAAAGCGTCCTTACTATTATTCCATGTATAGTATATATAACATGGCAACATTATTCAAGATCTGTTAATTAGTACTGATTTAAATCACTACCTGTACCGTATGTAGACTAGCAAACCTTTAACAATATTTGGACCTCTTTTTTAACAATTCCAGAAAGTGTAATGATGTTTTTTCGCGTGTTCAAAATCCGAACATTAAAGTAGTGTAGGCCTAATCTGTATTGCCATTATTGTGTCTGACTGATCTAAGTCTGCCCTCTTATATTATTAGTCCGTCCATCCGTCCATCGATTGGCTAAATTAGTGCTCGGTCTCTAGTTAGGTGGTTCTAATTAGCTTGTTAGTATGTACACAAAATTGCTGTTCATCTCTTCCATCAATTCATTGACAAATTGATTCTACTAAACATTATTTTGAAATGGAACTTATCGAAAAAACTATTTATAAAACTATTTTGCAGCTTCAAACGCGACGTCAATCCTCAAGATACTAAAACAAAAACTCAGCCTCAGTTTCTCCCTATTTTTAAAATTATTAATCAGCACTACTTGTCCCAAATTAGAATATTATAAAGAAAACTTCATAGCCTACCATTACAGGGCATGTAACCGATGGAATGAGCTCTTATCCATCCTAACTGCGGTTTAGATGTATTTAAGGGGTAGCCAAAGTAGGCCAGCCTCAATGTAGAGGTAGAGGCTGTATTTGACTCCGTTTCTTCTTCCTGTCGCTGCCCTGTCGTAGTAAATTGTTTGTTTGTTACCAAGAACTAATTTGGTAAATCCGATTGGTTTAAAATTTGGCAGAATGCATAACATTAACAAAATGAAACCTATTGTTTTTTGGTAAATATGTTACTAGTCTTTACATAATTAATACTTAAATATTCAGTACATTTTCATTGTATACCACCACAATTCCTATCAATTAACATGAAATTTCAATAATTGATGTCTGTTAGATCTGCTCATATAACGCAAAGTCTATGTGGTCTAATGGTATGATTAATACCGAAAGGTTGCAGGTTCGAATCCCGACCGAACACTTTTTTCATACTATATTACTGATAATAAGAAAATGTTCGTTGAAGGGCTATAAAAAATGCTTGATACAATTATATCATGTTCCTATTCGAGCACTGTTATTAGGCCTATAGGCCTATACCGTTCACGTACATATTACTGTAGGCCTATACGCATAGGCCCCCCTATATGCCACGTAGTGTGACAGCATTATCACATACTGCCTATTATTTTGCTTGATTTGTACTGTAATACAATTTGTTTGACTATTTTATATGAAACAATTAAAATAATTAAATAAGCAGTATTTATTTATAAATATATTAAGATACTATGTATGAAGGCGAGCAAACACATATACCACAAACATCTTATGTTAATGTTTCTATGGAAATATAGAATGGTCACAAAAGACGTCATTTTAGCTACCTGAATAAAGCCAAAGGATTTTTGGATGGACTTTATCCTTGTCCGGTAAACTAGTAAGTAGGAAGGTACTTCCCCAAGGGGAGGGGGTGGGAGGATCTTGGCTTCCCCAACGAGGAAGCTCCCTCAGCCACCCCCACCCCTACCCATCTCTGCTCAGCCCCATTCATGGTGTGACTTGGGTGTAGACTACGGAAAGTCCCATGCTCCCCAAGGTCACTTGCCTCCTTAACCATTGGAGAAAATGATCGTTTTTTTAGAACAATAGGAAGTTATACATGAATTCCAATATCGGCCCAATTGGATTATGTTTTGAAAATCATTTCTCTAACAAACTGTGCAAAATAATGATATATTTGGTGTATACAGTTTTATCCGGATTCGATCGTTTCATGCTCTAGCTCCTCCCGCTTTTTTTTTGTATATAAGTTAAATTTAACAATATTTTTGGCTGTTTCAATTAAGATTGTTAGGCCTAGGCCTACTCTCACTCGCTACCGTTTTTTTTTTTCTTGTTGAAACAACCCAAACGGATCCGTTTGGGTTGTGACATTGTGTTTTCTTAATTACGGTAATATCACAAATTTTAAAATTAAATTTTAAATCATTCTCATTGGCTCTTCGTTCAGGGGCGGATCCAGAGATGTCCAAAAGGGGGGGGGGGCGGAAGGGGTGGGAAAGGGGGGGACCGAAATTTGGGCTGATCGAGACAACAATGTCCTAGCCTGGGGCGAAATTTTTGTGTTCTAGACGCCCGAACATTTGAGGCGTTGTGGGCTATCATTTTTTTCTTTTTTTTTACCTCCCAAAAGGGGCCGGGAGCCGCCCCCCCCCTAAATCCGCCCCTGTCGTTCGTATATTCTGCAGTATTTTATTTGTTGACTCGCGAACACGTTGAAATTAACACGTTGAGATAATTTTAACAACAATACAATCTTGCATGCGCATTTTCAAACAATATTTTTTTTAAGGAAATATAAATTACATTTTAGCATTTGATTTGCATTTTAGCAACTCCATAATATTTCAGAAATAGAGATAAATGTCAATAAGTAATATTTATAGTTTGATACAATGCTATAGTAGCGTAAGTTCTTTCTTGTCAACTTATTAATTTTAGCAGGGTCGTACGTATGCGTTTGACCCAAATGACACGACACGGAAGCTAAACCACTCAGTGGAAAACTTCTTCTCTCTGGAAAAGCTTTCTTTCTGAAACGGTGATTTTGGGAGTCGGCAAAATTTGTGATAGTTGTCCAGAAAGAACATCCTAGTTTACATTTGAGCACCACTGCCACGTGGACTTCAGTATGTAATCGATGTTTTTTTTTTCCCTACTGATAATATAATAGTTTTCTTTTTAGTGAAGAAATGTTTGGGCGTTGGTTTATTGCGTAGGGATTGTGTAATGAGTAAGAAAGAGCCAAGCCAAGCTGATTTAACTGGATCCGAGTGACTAGGATGTCTCATGATCGGCTAGACCTAGGTCTGAGTCCGGGGGCTAGCCTGTAGGCTAGGCATGGGCGGCCCTTCATTTTTTTCTGCTTACCTAGGCCTAGCCAAGCCCCTACTTTACATAGCACTGGCAGTATGTAGTACACTGTGGCCTTTTTTAGTGAGAAATCTGATAACCAGCTTTTCGTTTTTCTTATATTTTTTTGTCTTTTGAGACTAGTAGGCCTACACAGGCCCTACCTAGTTAGGCTAGGCCTAAGCCTACTACTACTAGGTACCTAACTAGGCCAGGCTAGTATAATAACTCCATTTTCTTTCAAGACAGAAAAGGACCTGTAAATGTTACTGTAACTATCAAAATAATCATATTCATGAAGAAATAGCTAGGCCTACTACAGTGTAGGCCCCTATTTGCTATCTATGTTTAAAAGTCTCACCTCCATTAAAATTTGTGTCTTTAGTACAAGCAAATTTACAATGAATTTGATACGATGTATCTCGCGCACAAGACATAACCATTGAATCGGTAGTTTTAGCACTTAAAACTCGCACCCAATTGCAATCACATTTTTGTGTTTCACATTTACAGTGTCATATTGTGCTGTTTTTTTTGTTTAAATTATACCACTAATAATAGAGAAAGGAATGTCTCGAATAAAGTAGGAAAATTCAGAAACACAACAATTAAAAAGGAACCTGAAACCATGTACCATAAACATAATATATTCATATGCTTAGTACTCTTTATTAATTCATATCCAATCCAGGGTGTTATAATCATAATGAACAAGATAGGGCTGCAGATCCCCGGTCGGGTTGATAAAGTTTTTGCATGTTACTGTACTAAACTAAATTATTATTACGAGTGCAGATCAGAATTTAACTTTTTAGCATTTAAGCCTTATAGTATAATGATGTAAAATCATTATGACATTACTGTATCACTTGTTTACCTGACATGTAATTCATACCCATAAATGAGATCATTAGACGTAGTGTGAATATGAAGACAAGAGTTCGTAAACAAGAAAACTTGTAAACCCTGGTTCTGAATGGTGGCATATAGTACCGGACATTATCTTTGATCTATTTTTCTTTTCTTATTGTGTGGACAATCTTTGCTTGTCGTCGTAATATCTTTAGTATAGGAAGCAGTTGACAATTGACTTTTTCTATATACAGGTACCAATATTTATTTTTGATTTTTAAATTAATAAATGGCTAATGAAATTTAGTATTTATTTTTCCCTTAGGTAGTTTTATTGCCTTTTGTATAAAATTGTGAAACATTTGTTTTGAAAATATAAATTTAACTAATGTATTTTCCATTGATTTCTTTCAGAAATCCGTAAACCATGAGTGGTCTGCAGCCTTCAACAAAGTTTGTGCTTAAGAGCACGACTAAAGTGTCACTGAATGATCGGTATGGGTTTGACGTCGCATCAACACATTCCCTTAATCTAAAAACAAAACAATCCACTGATACTTCTGACCAGACATGGTCGAAGGCATCTGTTTGTCAGTCGTAAAGAAAATGCAGACTGACTACAGAGGTCTTCTGATGTATTTAGTGTTAATTCATGTACTAAATATACATGACAATAGAGTCATATCAGATTGCAATGAGCAAAATATATTCTTAGCCAAAATATGAGTTTTACTCAGGAAAGTATTCAAAGATAAGCATCTTTGCAGTTCTGTCTTTAGCTTCCTTAAGTTCAGTGTATTTTTCTGTTCATTGAGCTTTTGGTAGTGGTGACAATACTTATTTTGCTCCTGTGTTAAACATTGTTATTTGGCTTCATGGTTTAAGGCTATATTTATTTGTGCCATAGAAATACCTCTTGGTAGTTCCTCTTTGTGGTGATTTGAAATTCTCATAATCAGTAGAATCTGATATCATTATTGCTCTTTCAAATATGAGAACGATTTCAACTACAAGTTGAATAAAGATAAGAAAACAAAAACCCAATGAAAGAGGTTATTTGGGCACAAAATAACAGGCTGAATTATAATCCAGGCCTGTATAGCATGAAATATGCTATTAAAATATGTTGCTGCACTACGTGCGTCCTAAAGAAAGCACCAAAAGTAAGCACTGAAAATTTCCATATCTTTATTCACAGTGATTCAACATGTTTATGTGAAAAGAATTCAAATATGTGTGTTGATATATCATACATATTTGAAAAATATTTGCAAATCATTAAACTATACTCTCATAAGATATTGTTAATATTAAACTATACCAACAATTTTTTCTGCTAAGCATCAGTATTGAAACTTTGTTAGTTGAGCCATTTTAAGATAGCCTTGACCATTGCTCATGCAACTGATTGAAACACCTCAAATCTATTTCTACTGTAAACTCAAGCTTTACCAAGATTATCAAGTCCAAACCACAGCAGTCACAGCAGCAGAGACTGAATACCATGCAGCAGCAACGTCAGTCCTCCCGGGCCAATCAACGACTAGCACTTCAAATGGAAAATAGGCCATCGGTCAAAGCAGCCTTAGGGCTACCACCACAAGTAAATATTTGCTGTCCTGTTAATTTTAATTGTAGGAGGAGATAGCAGTATATTAAGTTTCAGACCTGTTTCTAGTAGGGTCATTCTGGTAGGATTGTATTTCTGGAAGGATAGCCCACGAAAGTCTAGAAGACGACTTATTTCCAGTGGGGTCCTTCTGGTGGTGATTGAGAAGTACACCGGGAGACAATTCCCTACTCTTTTCCGAAGAGTGTACTGCGTTGTTTAACGTGCACATAGGCCATAAATGCATACGGGACGGACAGCTTAAACGTATCATCCGAAGGACGGTGCGCTATTGTAAATTGTATATCAGTCCTCCAGCTGAAACACAAGGAGGGGCAACGATGGGAATTGAACCGGGGACCTAGAGATCTCCACGGTTTCGTGCACACACAGTAGCTACCACCAGATTAGCCGACTGAGCTAAGCTGCTCTCTCCAGTAAATAAGAATAGTGAATATGACCGTATACTGGGAGACAATCCCCTACTCTTTTCCAATGACTGTACTGCATTCTTTAACATTCACATGGGACATATTGCATACAGTACCAACAACTTAATTATCACATCCTAAAGACAGTGCGATGTCATAGCTTGTATTTCAGCAATTTTTTACTAACCATATTAATAAAGGGTGACCCTTCCAGCGTATCCTAGAAGGTCGGCTGATATTCAGGGGCCCTCTTAAATATATGAAATAAAGTGATGTTTTATCAGCGAAGTCTCTTTATGAGGCTTAGGGAGTTTAGTTGTTTTTAGTCGTGAGAAAAAATCCTAATGTTACAGGAATTGAACCCAGGATTAAAAGGCAAGCATCTTAATCACTAAGCTATTCAACTCACTCCAACGAAAACAAAAAGAGAGCAGTGATTGAATTGAACCAGAAACCAAAGATGTGAAAATATCTCCATGGTTTAGCGCACTCACATAATATCTACCACTAGTCTAGTTAGCTATACTAAGCTGTTCTCAATAAATGTTGATGATATTTTTCTGAAGATGACTTAAAATCTTACTAAAACGTTTTTTCCAAAACTAATGCTGTTGTATTTAAAGTGTTTGTGTGTGTTTGGACATATTTGTTTAATCCATACTTGTGTTTTTATTTTTTAGAACCAAAAATCAATTCAGCAGCGATTAGGTCAACAGGGTATCCGAGGAAGGCTGGGAGTACGGGGACGAGGGCGTGGACGTGGTGGTGGACGTGGTGGTGGTGGACGAGCAGCATTCCATAATGTGCCTCAAGGAACTGCTTCCCGTGGTGGTCAAAGAATGGCTAGAGGAAATGCTGGTGGTAGAGGATTACGTAGAGGAAGGGGTGCTGTTAGAGGTGGAATGGCCTGGTCACAGGCTGGACGCAGTAGTGGTCAGCCTTCCAGAGGAGCACAAGGATCGCGTGGAATGAGAGGACGTGGAGGATTCCAAAATAGGCGTGGGATGCGTGGTGTCCTATCATCTCGTGCTAGAGGTACAATTTTTTTTTTTTTTGGTTATGGAATCTGTACAACCATACTGAGCGATACTCTTATCTTCTTTCTATTTCTCTAGTTTGAGTTTTCCGGATTGCTTCCAATACTATGTTTCGTCTATAAGAGTCGTAAAAACCACAAAATTTGCATTTAGCCTTATGAGTAGTAGCAAAGAGTATAGAATTTGCAAGAGGTCCGACTGTCCTTATTTTGCATAGAATAGAATTCAAATTGAGTTCGAAACTCGAACATACTTTTTGAGATTGGATTCCATTTCAAGGAAACCTTGACAGTCGGACCTCTTTGGTAGTAGTCATAGTAGGCTCCTGCTATAGAGTTTGAAAATAGGATGGAATTCTGGAACAGAACAGTGGGTAAAAGGCTAAAACATTTTGTTGAAAATGTAAGGGATAAATTTGAAACAAATGTTAACATAGCAATAAAAAATAAACTGTCTATGTATAAACTGTCTAAAAAAAAACAACTTGAAAAAGACTAATGAAAAACACAATTCCTAATTTGTTAACTTACTGTAAATCCTTAAATTTCTGTCCTTTTAAATGAGCAATTCTGCAGTTGCCCAAGAGGTATTGTTTCTGCTTCGTGTGCTGAAGACCCAGCTTCTGGTTTTAATTGGAGTTTGATTGCTGGACTCTTCGAGTAATTTAGAGTTAAGCGAGATAATGAAAATTTTTGTATCTGTATGTATCGGTTACACAATGTAGTCAAGTGATGCTGTACTGCAGCTGCTACAGGTCTAGATGGGCTCAGCCCAAAATTCCAATTTCATGTTCAATGAGAACAAATAAAATTATTTATTATTAATTACATTTATGAGGATTTTACTACAGACAATAACTCTTTAACAAGAAAAAAAAACTGTCATTAAAATTATATAATTTGATATACAATGTAATTTCTAATTTTCTTTTATAAAATTTTTTCTTCTGTTTAGGTCGTGGGGTACGAGGGAGGGGAAAGAAGGATGGTCGTGGTCGTGGCAGGGGAGGAAGAATGTCTGCTAGAGGTCGTGGGCGTGGTAGAGGACAAAACCGTCAACAAGTAGTGTCCCGTGAGGATTTAGATAATCAATTAGACGCATACATGTCAAAAACCAAAGGAGCACTAGATGCTGAGATAGAGGCATACATGGCAGAGGCTGAAACCTTTTGAGTAGCAATATTCGTTCCACAACTATACAATGCCTTTTAACCAAAAGTTTTAAGATTATACTTTAAGGTACAACTGTATCTAATATGATAAAAAAAAAAAAAACCCACATGTCTTGGTTCTATAGAAAGAAAACTAGTTTACACATCCACAATGTCAAAATGTAATTGAGTATTAGATACTGAAATAGTTTTATATTGCTCTATAAATAGAGAATGCAATTTAATGAGAAGCAAAATTATTTCCTTATATACATTAAATTTTTTTAAAACCAGAATGTTAAATAGAACACTAGCCAGTAATAATGAATCACAATTATTACTAATTGACATGATGTATAAATTTACAGTGATTGATTTTTAAGTTATTTGTATAATTAAAATAGATACTGTACAACTTAAACCTACAAGCTGGCATAATTAATATTGAGCCATTTTTTCAACCATCTATGCTTGCTAGAAATTTTAAACATCGAATTGGATAATGTAGCTATATTTTCATAGACACTCTCCACATAGTGTAATTTTTTAAAATCAGTCAGCTTGGCTAACAGAATTAATTCAGCCAAATGTCAAAACCAGCGTCTGTTTTGTGTGAGACTTAAAAACAAGGAAATGTTCTACATTGTTATTTATAAATAGTGTACAAAGAGTGTTGTAATGTATAGTTTTAATTAATATCAGTTTGCATTGGAAATCAACTGTCTTGTGACCAGTCGTAATATTTTTAGTGGCTTCATTTCTTTTACTTAGTTTTAAATTAGCTCCCCATCCTGCAAATAAATACCTTTTATACTGCAGTGAGTGGGCCTCATTTTCTTGTACGTATTTTTAAAATGAGTTCCCCAACCTGCAAATACCTTTCATAGGACAGGGAGTGGCCTAATTTTTCATTATTTAGTTGTAAATGAGGTTCCCATCCTGCAAATGACATTTGAGGTGCAGGGATTGACCTCATTTCTTTTACCGTATTTAGTTTTTAACTGATAATTCAAATGACTGCAGTGGAACAGGGAGTGGCCTAATTTCGGATTTAATTTAATATTTATTTGGTAACTTTACATACACCATAGTTTTGATTTTGTGACACAGCTGTAATTTAAAAAAAAAATTACCTCTTTGAGTAGGTCTACAGGTACCTTGTTTATAAGTGGAGGCATGTTACACAGTGGCTTTATGCTTCCAACTGAATTGGTGGGAGTTCAATGCCAGTCATATTCCTTGTGTAATTCTGCAAGGAACTTTACATGTGATTTTGGTCACTTTCCATCCAAGACTACTCTATTTGTGCCTGGTGAGATTTCAAATATGGAATGAAATTGGTCCAATAATTGCTCACAAAATCAGAATACTTTCATGTGAACTCGCTCTGAATTCAATGATCAGTTGCCAGTGACGGTGCCAGAAATAAGAGGTCAAACTTTCCCAACAGTGTCCAACTTTCCTTCAGCTCCATGCTGTTTTTAAAGATTAAGCACCTCCTGATGCCCTGATAAGGCAGTCAGACTGTAAAAGTGCCATTTGTAAAGCAGTATTTCCTGATGTTTATTTTCTGCCCCGATAGGTCCAGGGTTCCCTAGGGGCTGGTGCCGCCACTACTGGTCGCATGTCCACAAGACTACATTATGGACTACAGTATATACAAATGAACAACTGTATATTTTAGATTTTATACCCTATGTACCTGTATATTGTGATATTTGTAGAGTAGGTTAAATCTCTCATGAGGTGAATCAATTACAGTAAAGTATCTGAAATGTGTCATTATGTTTTAACAATAGATTACTGTATACTTTTTACATATTGATTAATTACCACAATACCTTGTTTAATAATTAGAAGTCTTAGTTTTCTTTATTTATTATGATTTGTCTAGAATTAAAAGTTTGACTTCTTGAAAAATTGGTGGATACTGTATTAATTCATGTCTAAATATATTTACAGTGTATTTTGTGATCTCAAAAGTGCTTCAGATCATTATGGAAAACACTATATAAGTGAATAGCCATAAAGTGTACATATTTACTACTGTACATACTATCATGTTTTTACGAAATTCCTTTGGAGCAATTTAATCAGGGATGGAGTACTGTAGTCAGTGGCAGTGCCAGAACATTGCAGACCCGTAGCTAGACTCGTTGATCATGGGGGAAGGGGATCAAGTACCAAAAAGACCACACTCACCTTGGTCCTACCATGGTTAGTATGGCTAACTGAAACAAAGCACTCTTAAACTTTTAAAAATCATGTTTATAATACAGTAGGAAGGATATGCAAGGGAGGTTAAACACTTCAGCCCCGCCATGGTTGGGACAGAAGCGGCTAGAAAATCAAGGACGTGTGTAGCATCACTAAATACCCAGAAATTGCATTCATTCAGAGGCATTATGTTATCAAATAATTGTTTGTGTTCGAATCTTAAGGAGTGAGTACCAGGCGAAAAAATTTTGTACCAGCTCTAAATGCCTGGAAGTAGCGATCTCGGACTTAAAATACAGTATTACCTGGTTGGACCCACCAGCACCCGCAGCCACTGGTTTAACTTGATGCATAATATCGAGATGTGCGAGATAAATAGTTCGAATTTCACTCCTTCCTGAAAAATAATTCGGGCTGACGATTTTTTCCCACAAAGTTAGCAGTCCTCGCTAGTAACATGTATTTCCCCGACGAGAATAGAGACAATGTTCCTTGCCACCATTGACAACAGTATAATTCGTCGGTGATAGTCTTTTCCCCTGAAGATTTTCCCTACGAATAAGATAAATAACTGTACGATACAATGGAACCCCTATTAAGGGGACACCTTCGAGACCAAAAAAAGTGTCTCCTTAATAGGGGTGTCCTCTGAATATACCCCTATTTAGGGACACTAACCGAAAATTTGAAATTGTCTTCTAATAGGGGTTTTTGGAGTGTGTTCTAATAGTACCTCCCTAGTGTTCTATTACCTCAGTGCAGGCCTATTTGAATTCACTATTTCTACTACTAGCCTCCTATATTAGGTTTAAGGCCTACTAGTACTATAGAGCCCTATCTATGTAGACATATAGGTCTCTAACCTAGGCATAGCCTAGACTCGATTTTATTACAGAGGTTCAACCTAACCACGCCTAGGCTAGGCTCCC